ACTGAGGTACAATCTGAAGCCGGGACGGACGTGTCCCGTACACGCCCACGTAAAAGCATCCCCGCAGGCCTCCATATCTTCCAGCGCTCTACGACCCAGGTCAGGAAATCTACGCAACGAGGAAAGAAACATGTCCAATCAAGCAAGGATCCAGGACGAGCTGGGCGTCAGGTGCCTCTTCCGTTCAGAACCGCGCAACTTGAAGGCGATGAGAACGACTTTGGCCGTGGCCACAGGAAAATCGCATTCGAGAAGGGCCTCTTGCGTGTCGATCAGCAGTTTGGTCTTCAGCTGCCTAGCGAACAGCCTTTCGTAAACCCACAGCTGGCGAGGTATCTCGCAGATGACAATACCGAACTGCCGCCCCTTCCCTCCGCGAGAGACGTCGGAGAAGGCCAAACTGAAGGTCCAAGCAAACAACAACCTCCGGTTCGCAGACGCTTGAAGCGAAAGGTACAAGCGCAACGAATTGATGTCGATGCGCGAGAATACCGCCAGCCAAGCGAGCCAGCAGTTGACGAGATCCTCAAGAACACCGACGCTCCTCAACCACAAGAGGTCGACACGGAAGACGGCTTGCCCGTACTCCACGGGTTGGGTCCTTATGGCACCCGTTACCCGATCACGTTCGATGTATACTCTCTAGCCACCGACACGTACTTCCATTCTTCCACGTTCATCGGGGCTGACGAGTTTCGCCAAGCTCTACTTGTCAGCAAGCCCGGTAGCCGTGACCTCGATGAATTGGCCGGCCATTGCACCATCAGCCATGGCGCTCTGTCAGTCAGATGTGGCCCATGGAATGATGAAACATTTTCTAGGCTACAAGAGCTTGTGAAAGCGGTATCAGAACCTGTTGAAGTCCATGGACCCGACCCTGATACGTCATCATCAGTCCACGAAAGTCCGCTGAACTCAGCTCGATTGGCACGATCACTTATCAGCTATATCACCCACCATCTCAGCTTTTTGGATCCCATCGATCGAGATGACTGTGTGGCCAAGTTGTTGCGGCTATGCCAAACAATCTTTGACAGCTTGTTGGTTGCTCAAGGTACCCTGAACGGCCAAGATCCTAGTCATACTCATGGTGTGGTCCGTGCTATGGCATACCTTCTTGTCATTGGCCTTCAAATCCACCACATCGCTCAACATCCTACCATTGCTCCAGGAAACCAAGTCGGTGTTATCGGTCTTGCCAAAAGCTTGTCCAAGACTATCGTCGCTCACTTGATGCGACACGGCATTCCCAGTCTTGGTAGTTTTCTCGAACAAAACCAGCGACACTCCGTACGCGAGAAGGGTATACAAGATACCGACGTGATTGTTGAGAGCACGGTCATATGCATGCATGTTTTGGAGGAGATGGACATACCAGCATGGGGTTTCTGGGATCTGGTCAGTCAAGAGCTTAGTTCCAAGCTGGGCAGCGCTACTACTTTACCTGCCTTCGAGGCTACCTGGGCCACGATGTTCACCTTCCTTCCCTACAACGAGATCGATTCGTCCGGCATACCGCTTAGAAGTCGGAGGGAGACTTTCCAAAGCGACAACTGGGCTTGCATTCGAGATCTCTTACGCAGATTATTCGAGTTATACCCGAGTACGTACAGGAAGCACAGCACGTCGCTGAATGGATACGTCCGCGCCAATCTTGCAAGATGCCACCGGTTGATTGCTCATTGGCATTGGAGACGTCCGGAGTTGATGCTCAACGCTGTCTTGGATTTCTTTGGCAAGAATGGACTCAAAAGCCTACGACGTGAAGTAGGCGCTGGGTCGGTACCCTTTCTCAACGACCTTGCCACTGCTCCATCACTCAACGTCGAGCCGAATGAGAACTCCTTTCACATCGCACTGAAGTGTCTCGCTCTAGGTCTTCAGGGTATGAGTACTGCCTATCCCGAGAAGAAGATTCGTAGCTTTGTCTTCCGCTCTCTACCTAATCATGGGCGTGCTTACCCCAAGGACCAGCCCCTGGACGAAGAAAATCTCGCAGCGCTACGCAATCACCATGACCTACTCTCAACGCTATACTGGGCTGCGCCACCCGCTTGTCGGCCAAAGCTTGATCACATTCGTGACCTAGTCAATCACGAGAGCTCTCACCGCGAAGCATGTAGAGTCAGTGTTCGAGCCTGGGCCAACCTTGCTACGTATCAGCTATCAACCGAAGAGCCATATACCTCTGCACGGCCATTTGCATCCTGGCACAAAGACATCATGCACCAAACGCTCATTCAGTACAAGTTGGCAAAGACCGAAGCTGACGACTATCTCAAGTCTGGTGTTCTGGACGGCACTACTGATGTCTCTGCCGTCATGGTTCGTCAAACGATGGAAAAGAACCAGGGTCAGGTCATTGCGACGCTAAGAGACTGCATTGCAGGGATGAGCAGGGCCATTCAACATGCAAAAGATCAATCATCCCTAAGGGAATTTTTGGTGGACTCCGACGTCATGCATCTTTTGGAGCTCCCTCATCTGGAAGATCATCGACTCGTCAACGTTATTCGCGACGTCATGAAGGTCCTTCAGGATTATGCGAAGATTCAGAAAGCCAACATGAAGAAAGACGTAAGTCAACAGACAAGCGAGGAAAGCCAGGACTACGGTGACTTTCCTGATATGGATGATCTGGAAGATATGGATGTCGATGTCCCCGCAAAGACCGTTCAACAATCGGGATTGGATTTCATCCAGACTCCACTTTGGCACTTACTGTCGAACGCATTTGGCGCGGAAAACTCGCCAGATGATAACCTGCTCATGGATTGCATCGATACATGGGTTCGAATTGCAGAAGGACAGGTCCTATCGGGTGAAAGATCATGGTCGTACTATCTCGATTCGTTTAGCCAGGTATCGTGGAAGCAGTTACGCCAGACCGAACAGACGCGCAAATTCGGTCCATACTTCATGGCTGCTCTCGTTGACTGTAACTCAGCCGCGTACGAAGAGCATCGACATGAATTTTTCCAGGCTCTAATGGTAAGCTTGGTCGAGCGAGAGTCGATGCTGAGGTTCCAGCACAGACTGCTGCACGCCATCGCGCAAACGGACGAGCACCACCCGCTCATGCAGAACCTACCTTTCTTCCGCGATCTAGAGACTGGAAAATGGGACATCACTGCCGACACTCTGCGCACGCGACGCCTTGCTCTCATCTCCAGCATTCTCTCCAACATGCGCGACGACATCCACGCCATCACCCGAGCCGAACCATCACGTCTCGGCGAAATGAAACGGCTGTACGCATCAATGCTGAAGGACTTCATGACATCTATGAAGTACAACTACCAGCAGCTCCGCCAAGGCACAACGGTGACCGGCGCATACGTCGAATTCGTGCAAAAGATCGTACAGTTCCTGAAGCAATACACGAACGACATCTGCCCTGTCCTGCCTTTCTTCACAGACTCGGTCGCCTTCCCACTACCAGCCGGTGATCCCACATACGTGGTCGCACGCCTCTGTGGATACGCCCCGAAGTTGTCAGATGCAGGGACTGCGAAACAGCTGTCTTTCTTCATCCAGACCGTCGCACAACAAGCCGCTGCCGACAATCAACAGGCTTATCTGGTCAACCAGCTCAAGACTGCGCTTTGCACCGATGAGGCGCCAACTGGCGATAGGGTCGCACTACGATCGGTATTGCTACAAGGCATTCTTCCCGCATACTTGGAAGAAGCTTTCTCATCAAGCACAGCTTTCGCCATCGCTAGGCCCATACTGCAAGCACTCCCCGCGATCCTAGACACGATGATCTTTGACCTGCGTATCACTCAGCCGGAAAGTCTCGCTTCAACCGTCGGCTGCATCGTATCGATTTCACACGCCTTCATCCGGGGTACAGAACAGCTGAAAGACAACCATCATCTGCTCCAGCTACCTTGCGTCCTCGCCGCGCTCACACACATGCTGCAAGCTCTCAGATTAATCCTTTCTCCGCTGGAGTACATATGCAGCCGCACCATGCCGTCCGCACATCTCAACCCACCGCCACTAGTCACCTACATCTGCGAGCTCAGCATCTTCATCACCGAGCTTCTCCGCGGCGCAACACCAGATACCATTCCCTCTTACGCCGGCGACGCACATGCGCCACCTCCGGAGAAACAACACGTAGACCTCCTAGCCTTCTGCCGCCGCGGCCTGGAAGACAGCTTGAAGACGAACTGGAGTGAGAGCGTTGAGTCTGTATGGTTTGGTCAGGGTCATGCGCGCAGAGAGGTGCTTTTCGATATCGGGGGTGTAGAGGAAGAACGAGGAAGACTAGAAGGAGGGATAGACGCGTTCCAGGCTGCGCTTCATGATGTTTATGGGTTTGGCGACGACGGATATGATGGGGCGGGGGAAGGGAATGCTGGGTACGACATGGTAGTTTAGTAACGTCTTGGATTTAGCGGCATGAGAACGGCGTACACTAGCATTTCTCAGATTACACGAGTATAATAAGAATCACACTAATACCATCACGCTTCCCAGGTATGCGCGGATTAATCAACTAAACACCATGCGAGCACCTCAAACAAGGAACAAATTTAAACACGTCTGCAGCCTACGTTAACGTCGAGAGATGCGAAGTAGGTAACTAACGTCAACGTTAGCCCTAGAATGTTGAGTGTTTTCCCATAAATAAGGGGTGCGCAATAAGTCAAAGCATAAATCACGCGAAATCATGCAGACAAGTAGAAGTTTATATGTTCTCATTCCGTCTCCAGCAGGTGATAGGCAAACCATATCAGCCTTCGCAGTATGGGATGTGGCTATCAGCCTCATCAACTATACACCATGAGCGAATAATAAGAACAAGAAATCAAAGCCATAGTCATCCCTCTCCCAAGCTCCAGCCTCTTAAGTCCATCGTCAGGCACATCTACCCATCAAGCCTCGACCTGAGCGGTCATTTCAAGCTGTGAACACACTTAGCTACATCGCGCTTGAAGGTTGAGTGAAGCGTACACGTTTTGGACGACAGACCAGCGTCTTTTCGTTCCTCAGCTAGCATGATCATTCAGATCCGCAAGGGCTCGAGCAGCCCTTCTGCTCTCTTCAGCATCCCTCTCCATTCGCGCGTTTGTAACCGCATAGTAGGAGGTAGTATCGTACTTGTTAGCTCGACGAATAGCATCTATGTGGCTCATTTGGGACGAAAAAGGATTATAGTTATGATAGTCCCCGTCGCTGGGGGGATTGGGATCAATTGAAGGGAGGACGGGCGCGGTCTTCTTCTTTTTTGGTTTCTTCTTTTTCTTCTTGGGTGCTACAGTCGGGGTGGCGTCGAGCTGGGGTGCTTCATCAGGAGAGACGGTTCGCGAGGAGTCCGGGTGAGTAGGGGCAGGAGGGGTAGAACCAGACGGTAGCACTCGCTCTTCTCCGACTAGCGTAGAAGCGGAAGAGCGGCGAGAGTGACCTGGAACGTGAGTTTGTTGATTGGAAGTGAGGTTATGGGGATCATTTACTTCCTGGGCGGGCATCTTCTGGGAGGAGCCTTGTGTTTTTGGGGTAATTGAAGGGACAGATGGTGGAGTTGATGGGGTCGGTTCAGCAGCTGGGATTACCCCAGAGTCTCCCGAAGATCCCTGGTTGGCTGGCGCGGCGAGGTAGGCCTCCATCTTTTCCGCCTGGTGAGTTACTGAAGAGACATCCTTGGAATCGTTGATATTACCATTGAGTTTACCATTCTCCGATTCGGCAACAGCCTTGTCTTCGCCATCGGCAGAGCTGGTACCAGCTGGCTGCATCTTTGCCTTGCCTTTGGACTTCTTGTTTCCTGTGGTGCTATCACCGCCAGTCTTTGAGTTGGCCGCTTCTGGTTTAGCAACTGTATCTGTAGCTCCAGGTGAGTTCACAGAGTCTCCTAGAGACCCAGTCTCACGCTGAGCGGAGGGACCGTCGTTGGGCTTTTGCGAGGATACGGCCTTATCAGCCTTCGCCTTAGCGACCCGATCAGCGTCTTCTTTCTGTAGAGGTGAAAAGCCAAAGTCAGTATATGTTTCATGTTCTTTCGTACATGCAAGACTCACCCTCTGCTGCTTCTTTCTGGCCTCCTTTTCTCGTTTGGCCTGAGACTTGTTGCTCTTCGCAAACGGGTGGAGCGACTGCATCTGCTGAGCACCAGCTTTCTTGGTTGCAGTGACGGGTGAGGTCTCTGCAGCTGTTGACATCTCTTCGTTTCCTTGAGCAGTAGCGGTTGTTGTAGGATCTTGTGTACTCTCCGACGCTGGAAGCTGAGGCGCGGTATCTTTTTTTGGGGGCGCAGCTACAGGTGGATCAGACTGAGTAGTATTGCGCGGGGTGATCAGTGTTGGGGATTTATTCAGGCTGGTCTCGGTAGGTATAGATGGCGACTTTGTGGTTTCTATGTACTGTTAGACGTTTTATATGAAAATTGGGTTGGGGTCGCAGTACCATGGTTCGTAGTCATCGCCTTGTCCTGGAGCTCTGGTTGCGGCTGCGCTTGCACAGACTCAGGCTGGATTTCTGGCGCAGAATGGAAGCTAGTGTCGTTCTTGGCCTCATCGTCCGAGACGTCGTTGTCTGCTAAATGCGCAGGCGATTCTATCGGAGCTGTACTGGAAGGCCCGCCACCTGTGTTCTCACTATCCTTAGCGATGGAAGTAGCGTCAGATCTAGTCTCTAGATTCTTAGCAAGGGCGCCCGCGAAGTTGAGAGGGACGTCAGTGTCACGCTCTTTCTGTGTTGTCTTGGTGTCTTGTTCTGCCTCTGGCGTCTCCGAATCCTTGGGTGGCAGTACGGTAGAGGCGTCGGCTACATTTTCCGGCTGGTCTAGCGCTGGTGTAGATTCGGAGGGAGAGGATTTATGTTCTTCAGCCGAAGAAGTAGGCCCATCGACAGTCGCTGGCTTCGTAGGTTCAGTGATGGTTTTGGCAGACTCTGTGCCGGTTTCTTCCTCTTTCGTGACAGCTGGGCTATCAGAGTTCAGCTTCCCAGCAGCTTTCGTCTTCTCATCGGCTGCATCGGTGTTCTTGACTGTTGATTCGCGCCTACCTTTGCCCTTGTTCTTCTTTGTAGGAGATTTCTGCTGATGTTTGGGCATCTCGAGCTTGACGTCTCCTGTCTCTGGATAGCTAGGAACGTCCAACTGCGGGGATGGCTTCTTCAACAGGCCGCTTCTAGCATCCTGGGGAGAGTACGATGCCTTGGCGCTCTCTATAGGTGCATTTGACTCTACATCAGTGACAGGCTTATCGTCTTTCTGAATCGACATGCGTGAAGCATCACGCCCAGTATGTGACTGATCGAAATAGCTTGAACTCGATGGTATATCCCTCTGGTAGAATCGCCTTGGTACCGTCACAACGGGTCGGACTCCACGTACGTGAGGATTAAACTTATTAATGCCCAAGGCTACGCTGGCGTCTGCAGTTGATACGAATCTAGATGTGTCAGCGGATACACAGAGACAACAGCGAGTTGACTTACGTAGCAAAGGCATGAATAGAACTTGCACCGATCTTGTTGCCCCTCAAGGAGACCGCGATAGGGTTAATGCCGATCGTCTGCTTGAACATCTGTGCAATTTCAGACTCGCCGGTATCGGGTAACAAATCTCCGATCCAAAGCTCGGTGACGGTCTGGTTCTTGGGCCCAATCCATGTATGACCGCAACCAGAGACGGAGTCGCCAGTGATAGCCGGGTCGTCTTCCGATGGGCGACGTCGATTGTTGTAGTCGGCATATCGAGGTCCGCTGGATGGAACGTTGCCGCTGTAATCAGCGTTGGACCTGTTATATGACTCTCGCCCGCCTGGGTTGGATACTTTGCGGCCACGACCAGACTGAGCGGCGAAGCCGCTGTTACCACCCTTCCGGCCTGTGTTGTTATGACCCGGGGCACCGTTGAACTTAGGGTTGTTGCCACCGTAAGGATCGTAGAGCTCTTGGGGGTTGCGCGGTGGATTGGAACGACGGGGGACCGGCGCACGAGGATCCTGATGTTGAAGCATCATGTTGTTAGTCATGTCGCCCATCGAGACGTGCTGGCTGTGTGGCTGCTGCGTGAATATAGGGTTTATTGGCTGAGCTTGCATCATGTTCTGCTGGTAGTTGAGTTGTGCTCGAGACATCAGGCCAGGGTCGGGGTGCTGGAGAGCAAAGCCATGATGGACCACCTGAACATACGGAACTACACCCGACATCATTGGCTGTGCGATATGTTGGCCCGGTGCCATTTGCGGGGGTAGGAAGTGAGGCGACTGCATGGCAGGCATAGCGCCAGAAGGCTGTCGTGGGTATGGACCATATGCAGTGCGGTTGTTGTTCTCGACCCAGCCGCGTTGCTGAACGTAGGATCCGGAGTTCATGTTACGATTGGATTTTGGAATGTTCAAGGATAGCGCATGCATGTTGGGCGACGGTCTCGAGGGCCCTGCCGGAACACCCATATCGCCGCTCCTCAATGGAGCAGAATGGCCCCCACGCTGAGCAAGACCCTGCGACGGGATGCGTGGAGGAGCATAGCGCATGTTGGGCTGATCTGGTACTTCGGAAGACTCATTCGCGACATGGTCTGGCTTATCGACGGCGGACGAAGGCTCTGCCGGTGTGGTCAGTTTGCTGGGTCGAGATCGTGTGATCTTGCGGTTTTTCTTACTGCCTTTCTTGTCTGTAGACATCTCGACAAGGGTGGACGAAGGCTGGGTTGCTTCATTGGTGGACTGTTGACCCCAAGTGCGTGCTTGTGGCGTCAGGCTCTCGCGCAGTGTCTCGTTAGTCGCCTTGTTCATCTCGATCCATGTAGTAATCAGAATATGAGCGACGTGCCAGAGGAACACACGAGGGAACCCGAGAGGCTCGCCGAACACGAAGATCTGGTCGACGATGGCAAGCGGATCGTTGATGTCGTAGACGTCGCCCATCTGAAGCCCGATAAAGTCGACTCGATCTGGATGCGCGAGCGCCCAATCCTTAGCGAATCGGTCCGCTGCGTAGTAGGTGTTCCGGGAGATGAAGGTCAACATCTCTTCGCAGAATTTCCTGCCCTCGATGTGGACATCTTCGGCATCCCATAGGTCTTCCACGGTCCACCCCTGTGAGAGTAGAATGCAGAGACACCTATTCGAGTCAGTGTGGGCTTCGAGTGGGACGCGAAAGGTTACTCACTGATTCTTGTACTTTACCTGCCAATGGGTCGCTGCTTGCACCACAGCCGCAGGACCTTGGACGCTACGTGCGATGACGGGCGCACGAATTGGACCTAGTGAACGGGGAGCGCGGGTACCAAGTTCGGTAGAAAAGAAGGCCTGGCCGGCTCCCGGACTGAACTTGGGGTCTCTAGTTGCATGGTTGACTGGGTCGACGACAGTGTTATTCATATCGGTGGGGGACGCAGGCTGCTCGTCTGCCGTTGTTGCGGTTTGCGTGTCTGCAGCGGGCGGAGTTCCCGGCGGTTGGACAGTATCCGACATAGCTGAACTCACTACTGGCTCGATGAGGGAGGTGCAGTGAGCAAAGCCGTGGGACAACTGGAGGTGGTGTTTGCAGCAGGGGAAGGTCTTGAGCGGCGCCGAATGCAGTTGGAAACTAGCAACTGCGATGGAGAACGCGAGGTTGAGAATACTTGAGAGATTTGTGGCAAGCGCGAGGGTGCACGACAAACAAGAGTTCGTCGCTGCTTGAGGTGGAAGGAGCAACAAGTCTTGGCGCCGCCAGAAAGAGGAGGTGAGCGTGAGTGACCAACGCTCGAAATCTCCGCGCGCCGCTCTTCCGCTCATGCTATTGGCCCAACTATATAGCTTTGGCGTCACTTGTAAAGATGCTGAGTGACTGGAAAAGAACAGAAACAGAAAGACGTAGTCACGGAGGATTTCGACATGGTGGAGCAAAAGGACGCGACGCGCAGTAGGAAAACACGACACTCACACCTTACTAAATGTTGGAAGAAGCTTTTCTTGGGATTTCTTTTGCATGTGCATTGATTTGCATCAGTGTCTTACCGGCGGCGCAGCTACCGGCCGCCTGGCAGAACGTCTCTTCCCGAGCTACTGGGCGGAGAAGCCCAAGACATACCGGGTCTAGAGGCAATCTCGAAGGCCAATAGTACTTTCCAGTATGTAGTATCCAGAATCACAGGCTGAGTGGAGTGGGTATAGTACAGATCGCATCTCTCAACGCTCTACACCTTCTCCGTCTCCTTCGGTACCGACCGTATCAGCTTCATGATCTCGCTCTCATTCTCTCCAGCGACTGTCAGAGTTAGCACGAGTAGCCTCTCTTCTCCTTTGCGGACATACCAGCTTTTCCCTGATTCCAGTCCACGACAAGCGGTCTCTGGAACGCGCCTCCGTCCGCCTTCAACCTCCTCATGGCATCAGTCTCGTTTTCCGCTCCGCTAATAACCTTGCCTGCCGCGCCTGATCCGCCCAAGTAGTCCAATATGTTCTTGAGCTGGTCGGTTGTGGGTGGGGCTTCTGTGACATCAAGCTCGAACTCTGTGCGCTCGGCCTTGTCCTGAGCTTTGTGGGAGCTGGCTTGGTCTTCAGTCGCATGCGCAACGGATTGTGCGTTGGCTTGTTTGAGGAGGGTGAGGACGCGAGTGGAAGCTTGGTTCGAAGGCGCGTGGAAGAGTGTCACGACGTTCTTTGCGCCGTGCTGGATGGTATTAGCAGGTGATGCTGAGAGCCAATTCCAGAATGGCTTACCTCTCCGAAGAATCGCTTGAACATGTTTGCTGTTGTTGTTGGGTTTGTACTGTTGATGCTCTGCAAATGGAGGTGTTGGTGCTCTGACAGCTCAAGTGGAGTGAGGTTCGGGTGTGACGTAGATCGCCGCTTGGACCTGCCGTTCCCACCGCAGTATGATCTTAAGAGATCTACGATGCAGCACTCGAGGATTGGACTAAAGACAGATAATACAGAGCTTAGAAAGCTCTTAGCTTATAGATCTGGAGGAAGGCAAGCCTACCGAGGGTGCTTCACTGTTGATGACGGATTTCTGACAAGCTGGACGGGCTTGTCCGCTTTTGAATGCGGCCAAGATGCTATGATGGTGCCAATTCGAAGACGTGAAATAATGTACTCACATTGGGGAATGTAACGCGATTGAATAGATGAACACAGCATCGGGTCGAGTGAAGCATGGAGGGTCAGCCAACGCGACAAGAAACAACACACGGCACACAATCCAAGAACACCAGAGTTGGGAACACAAGCAGCTAGAATTCGTGATGCAGCTGTGCAAAAAGCAGAATGTACATGTACGCCATGAATATGCCCCCATCATCCCAAAGTGTGGGATCATGCTGCTGCTGAGGAACGTGCCGTGGCGACGTCCGTGATTCCCACTTCCCTCTGATCCAGAGTCATAGCCATCCTGAAGAAACCGAATTCATGACCGTATTCTCTAGCTCATAGTGCTCGTTTCGTTCGCCCTTCCTCTAGTGTTTGGCTTATGAGGTTGGGTTAGGGTTCATCTGGGACGTGTCAGTTCTTGCCCATCATACAAATGCGCGATGTCTACTGACCTTGCGCTTGCCACCGGTCATGGTGACGTTCACGAAACGGCGGGTGTATGTGAGCCTCTTCTTGGCGCGGCCCTTGGGGGTCTTCTTCTTCTCCTGGGGCTCAACCTGTGTAGCGTGTCAGCCGGCTGTCCACATCCACATAGCATCCATAATCAATCCGTCCTTCTCCTCAGGCGTCGCGTGATCGTGGTCGTGGTTCGACGTGTCGCTATCGGCTGGAGGCGTGGGTGTATCGATGGGTGAAGCTTACCTTGGGGGCTATGCATTGTTAGCAGACATTCGCAATCGTTCCACATGAGCCAAGACTTACTTTGAGACTTGACCTTTCCGGCACGAGCGAGGGATCCGTGAACCTTTCCCATATTGGCGGTTGTTGATGGGTGTGATGAGTCGTTCGAAGTTGTCTGTGTGGTGGCAAAGTCCGATTAGCGGTGTACCTCTGGGGTTTCGGGTGTTGGGTGCGAGTTGAAAGTCTTGGTTTCGCAAGGCTTCGCGTTTGATGCAGGTGCAGTCGTAGGAGCGGGCGGAATACGTACAGGTTGCGGTCGTTGGGTGTTCGATGACTGGGCGGCGACGAGAGGGTCAAAATGACTCCAGGGCTGTGGACGGCGGCTCACCGGATTAGCCGAGATCACGTGCAGCGCTAGCGCATCGAAGTGTGAGCATCGAGCTCAGCAGAACGGCCACTATGCATTCACTATAGACACTTCCCACAAGCAATGAATAAGCAGAGCACATCTAGATAGCTGTGCCGATGCAGAAATTACCATCTATCAGGCTGCTGCGTCTAGATGTTCGGAACGGAGATCTCGCCTCCACATCTACCAGAGATGATCAGATAAGATAATGCGGCCCATCAACAAGTACAACGGACAACAGATTAGACACGCCGACTTTCTCAATGACCCTCAAGCCACTATCAAGCAGCGCGGTCATGCTGTGTTTAGATGCTTATGGATGAGCCATCTCTGTGCCCGACACGGTCATGCCTTCCGCAATAGACTTTACCTTTACCCTAGTCGGAGATCCCCGCCGCGGTTGGGTGTCGCATGATGCGTCCCGTAGCTTCGCTCGGACGCGTCGCTGTTTGCCATCAGCCACCACCTTCACTGACGCTTCACTGTAGCGATCTAGCTCTCGAAACACCCTGTTACATCTCTGCATCACTCGGATACAAGCAGTAGCAAGATGCGTCTCCAAGCTGCCCTCATAGGCCTTATCTCCGTCACCACAGCGTCCAACCTGCCATCACCCCAACACTTCTTCGCGAACCCGTCCTCCAGCGATGGATCCGGCTTCAAGATCCCAACTGTCCATGAGTCCGCCGTTCAAGCTCGCAGGATCATGCGCCTAGAAAACATCGGCACCTTATCTACCGTCTTCCCAGACTCTCACACCACTGAGCAACGACCCTCGGATGTCGGCGGCGCGCCCATAGGCTTGATGGACTACTTCGGCGACTGCGAGTCCGAATCAGGCCACCCGACCATCCTCGCCATCACCATCGCGACATCCTTCAAGAACGTAGATGCCGGCTCCAACATCACCCTGAGCATGCGATGGCACCCCCAGGACAACAAGTGGCGTAGCCCCGCATCTCTCCCTCGCTTCTCACTCGTCGGACGACTCGAGGACATCGATATGGATGCTGTCAAGAAGCTGGGTGTGACGGCTTGCTATGTCAAGAAGCACCCGGATGCTGCATGGTGGCTGCCAGGCAGTGGCATTCACGAGAGCAAGTGGGTGCGTCTCGTTGTCGAGGAGATATACTGGATTGGAGGCTTCGGAGACCGTGCATACATTGGATGGATTCCCAAGGATGAATGGTACAGCGTTACTCCGGAGGAGATTGATGGTGTCCAGCTGCCTGGAGAAAAGCAGAGTGCGTGGAACACCCTCGGAAGCTGGTTCGGAATAGGCCAGCAAGAGGATGGAGTGTTCGAGCTTTAGATTGGTTCATGAGAATCGGGGTCTGATGCTGCTCGCCACCTTACATGTGGATCATGTAGGGTGATTTAGCTGGACTTCAATATGCCCTGTGAGGTGGGAACCACGATTTCTGGTGCTCTTCTATAAGTTATCCGGCTGGACTATCACGACAGGTACTTATCCGCTACCTTGAGCTTACTTCAGCGTGTAGCACGACCACATGATAATACGAAACCTGGTTTCTTTCTTTGGTGCACATACATGTACACATCTTGCCGCCCGATCTGTATCTCTCCGTGGCGTCGATGAGCAGCTATCGCGTGATGTCGGCTGGTGGTGGAGCATCGAAATCACACCAATCTGAGTCTCCGTAGCGCGACGCTCTTAGCTCCATATAATGTCCTCGCTACGATGACAAACGAAATATCCCACGTCTGGTGGAGGCCACTTGAACACCTTCTGTGCTTTACTTGTATTCTGGTCCATGTGGCTCGTCTCGAACCTTTCGCGAGAGCGAGCTCATGACCGCCAGCCGCCTCGTGATGGTGGAACGGCTCTTGCAGCTTTCCGCCCCCACGGCTTGTCGGCCTAGCCTCGCCACCTCTCAGCCGCACATTGAACGTTGCGCTACACGTTCCCTCGGGCAGCTTTGGCATTACAAACAGTGTTTGCGAGCGCTTCAGCGGTTCAAGTCGAATACTGCACGCCGTGGTTGGTGAAAGACGTTTCACAGGATCTAACGACAACATGCGCCTACTCCGTGCGATTGATATGACGTTCCACGAGTTCGAAGGCGCTTCAATACCACCGTATGCCATTCTATCGCATCGATGGGAAGGAGACGAGGTCACATATCAAGAGATGAGCGAACGCGCGACTGCCACCGAAAGAAGATTTCGATTCATGAGAAACCAGGAACTCAAGATCCGGACAGCCGCCACAGAACGGAAACCTGGTTTCAAGAAGATACAACTATGTTGTGAGCAAGCACTGGAAGACATGATAGAGTTCGTGTGG